GAGACCTACCAGACGAAGTACTCGAACATTTCAAAAACTTCGGATTATTGAATTCCTTGAACATAGATAAGAATTCTATCGAAATAGTCCCTGCTGCATCCCGTCAGAGCTATGGATCCCAAACATCGATAACAGAACGACCACCTACAAGTATAACCGCTTTGGATGGCAGTACCTTACCACCAAACAACTCCGTCGTTTCCAGCACTGCTCCATATGTCGAAGAAGTTACCATTAACCCTCCAAAGAACTCTTATGTCAATTCGCAAGTCTCAAGAAATATCCTAGAAAGCCAAAAACTCACCCAACGCGCAGTCCAAGCATCTGAGGACATATCAGCACCAATCACTATCACAAAGACTGTTCCAGAACTAGTGGAACGGCCAGTATATATCAGGCTGATACAACCTGTACAGGTACCTATTCCACAGCCCTACCCCGTGGAAGTTAGGGTTCCAACGCCTGTGTACGTTCGAGTGCCAGTGTCTTATCCAATAGGGACACAGCAGTCGTCGGGGGTTACTATTGGCAATATAGGCAGAGTACCACTAGGTTCTTTTATTTATCCTGTAGCACCCCAACAAAGTTCCAATGGTTTGTTGAATTCTTATGTTGCCAGTAGACTCGGTGGATTGTACCGGAATAATTTTAACCAGTATCAAACTATTGATTACCAGAAAATTTGGCATTGATTTACTGGACTTGCCCTAAATACTGTGATATATTGTTATTTTGTTGTATGTCTAAGCTGATTGTTGAATAATAAACTGTGAAATTTGATATGTTGTTGTTTTATTAAAAGTCACAGTACCACGAGGTATTGCGGTGATGTATATAGGTTTGTTCGTGTTCCAAATTGTTGAAACGGTTTCTGGATGTATGACAAATTGATATTCATCATACAGGACGTGGAAAGAAATTCTGAATTGAGAAAACCTAATTACGAATCTATAAAAATAACAAGTTTCCATCGTTCAACTTTGAACCCCTTGATTGGGTGAAAGTATCGAAAAGGAATATTCTCAATTATGATTATGAACATAAAAAATGGATATATATTATAAAGAAATACATTGAAAATTCGTATTCTCTATGTGATGAAAATATCAACTCTTTCTCGGTTTATTCTACAGAAAACAACTAGGTACTTTTCTGGCTATATGCCACGGCGAACATTGAATTACATCTATTGAACATACACGATAAGAATTTGAAAACAAAATCTCCTGAAGTAATTTGCATTCTCCTTCATATAAAGATATGCACATAATATCAGTCTGGATATTCAACAGAAAACAACTACTTTCCTGGCTATTTGCATTGAATTATATCTGTTGAACATCTAAAAAGAGAGCATGAAAAATGAAAATCCTCTGAAATTGGGAATTGATATCATATTATTTCGTCCAATTTGAGATATCTCTCACAAACAAGTTGTATGACTCCACTCGAATAAATTCATTTCAGATATCAAATCCTCATCAGTAACCTGAAGTCCAGATATTCTTTCAGCCATTCTTCATGATATACACGATTTGTATCTTCCTATAATATAACTAAAACTATAACGAACTGACATCTGAGAATCATGATTTGTTGACATTCTCCTGTCATCTGGGCATTTGTTTTTTGGATCTTTGATAAATTGAGATTCATCATACAAGATCAGAGTTTATACAAGTATACTTCTCATATACATTTCAATTTCCATTTCAATACTGAACATATTGGTAAGTTATATTTTCATATCATAATACATCATATTATTTTATCCGATTTGAGAGATGATGTTAATTCTCAATTTCAGAGGATTTTCATTTTTCGTGCTCTCTTTTTGGATCTCCAACAGATATAATTCAATGTTCGACGTGGCAAAAAGCCAGGAAAATAGGTGTTTCCTGTTGAATAGTCAGAATGATATTATGTACATATCTTCATATGGAGGAGAATGCAAATTCTCTACTTCAGAACAACTTGTTCTCAAATTCTTATCGTGTATGTTTAATAGATGTAATTCAATGTTCGTCGTGGCATATAGCCAGGAAAGTAGTTGTTTACTGTTGAATAAACCGAGAAAGAATTGAAATTCTCATCACATAGAGAATGTGAATTCTCAATGTATTTCTTCATATGTATATCCATTTTTTTATGTTCATAATTAGATCTGAAAATATTCCTTTTCAATAAGTGATATGTATGTTCTTTTGAATAGTCTGTAATAATTTGCTTCATTTCACCTAATGAAATGACATATAATACCTAATAGGATTGACTGATGCGCTCGCGCGAATTTTTTCTTGTTGATAAAAATTGGAATTTTGAATTTTTGTTCAAGTAATTTTGCAACATATAACGTTTCTTATTCTCTAAGATATATTTCTCAAAGTTGCTTTGATTTTACTTGCGCATAATGGATATTACCCATTCAGATTATTACAGCACTCGCCTTCGGCTCGTACTGCAACTTCCATCTTCGTAGGTTATAGCAATCATTATGCGCTCGTTGAATAATATACGATTACAGGTTGACTATATTAACTTGTATGAAAAGTGGTGGATCAACAAACAATAACATACAGTAGATATTGGTGATGTTCGATATATCAGGAGTAATAAACTACTCCGATAACTTGTAAATTTCGTTATAAACTTGAATCATAGGCACGACCTTATAATTTTTTTTCTTCAAAGATCAAGTTTCAGTAAGTAACTGAATGGTAGACAAGTTGGCAAAATTACATTTTCGCTCGCATTTTCGTGTTTAAGAACATACATTGATTATAACTATACAGGGTGTTTCGTAATATTCGGGACGCACTTCGAGTGGTGATAGGGCGTCTCAAGAAAATAAAAAAGTTCCCATGAACAAAAGTCATTGAAGACTTTGTTTGCTGGATACAGATTGTTAGAGTTGTTAATAAAAATAGCTATTTGTGTATTTAGAGCGCAAAGTGATAGATTGCCGCTCGACAAAGAAAGTTTGGAGAGCGGCAATAACACTTTGTGCTCGAAATACACACAAGATTTTTTCTACTAACGCAGCTTTTGGAAATAACTACCCTGAAAGTATGAGCGATTGAAATAGTTGAAAAAGTTCTTATCCATATTATCCCATATGTCCAAAGGAAACAAAAAAAGAAAAATTGAAATAACTGACAAGGCAGAAAAAAAATGTCGGGCCTACCGAGAATTGAAACTGGACCACCAGCGTGGCAACCTGAGCTCTGAGCCATAGTACGATAAACTCTGCAATCAAATTGAACATTACTCATTGATGCAATAAAATAAAGATGCACTGTCTTTCTGATGACAAAAAAGAGTTTGAATATAGAGTATAATTCATCGTTTTCAACAGATATGCTTCATCGGGAGCTTCTTGTAGAAATTTGTTGGTATATTCAGCGGTGAATGTTTTGGATTTTTCTCGCTTTATATCCAATAGATTGTTTCTTGAGACAACATTCAAGCATGTATACGTACCATCCAATATATAGACCAATGAGTTGATGACTTCAAAGTCTTTGATTTTTTACCAAAATAAGCCAGTAAAACGTTTTCTGAATACATATTCACCATCTCGGAGTGGCACCAATTTATGAATGTATCATATTGTAATTCATATTTCTTCCTTGATTTCTCCGGTATAAGAGATTCAAACTCTTGCGCTTTTTGCTATATCATCAGGAGGTGTGTTTGATGATTCACTGTCACTATTTCCTATCATAAAAGAATTGGGGGTTTTCAAGAAAAGATAAGTATAGGTTACAGAGCTGTGCGAGCGTTTTTTCAATATTTCCGCTCACAAGCGCAAATGCTGTCAAAGAATGACATTTCTGCGAAAACGTCAACTTTGTGCTGGAATTTGAAAGCGTCAAAGGCTACTTTGTTAAGCGTTTGTGGAAAAATATTTTTTATTGAATTTTTGGATAACTGCTAAACCAGAATTCTTGATACTTTGATGCATAACTCAGCACCTGAGAGTGATTGAATGGGTAGCAACATTCAGTCAATCTGACTCCCAGTGGCACCGTCAACGGGGTATTGATGTGTGATTTTTCAGAAGAACCATGGGTGGCGATGAAACTTTTCGAAATTTTATTCGAAAATATGAAAGAGGATGCAATTTTTAGAAGAAAGCACCAAGTTTTGAAACTCCAAAATTTGATGTACATATCCAAGGATGTCGGATAGTTCATTCAAGACATCTGTTCATATTACTATATAACTATGATAGATGTCATTCTGTAATTGTGGCACTATGCCAGACACATAATAGACTCAATTTCGCCACCAAGATAAGCCATACAGGGTGAATATAGAAAAATTCTATAAATATTTACAACTTCAACGGGAACGTAGCCTTGTACGACTTTTGTTTACGAAAACTTCTCCATCTTCTTGGGACGCCGTATCACATCTCGCAGTGCGTCATACATATTACGAAACACCATGTAGAAGCAAAATACTGGATTCAATTTGTTTACTTTTTTCAATTATGTCATGGATGATGATTATCACGTTCTGATACAGAATTGTCTCAGAAATGAAAAAAAATTGCAATATACCTTCAAAACAGTCACATTTTTGCATCTGCTGAAAAAGTTGTAGGTTGACCCTGATGGAAGGAGTGTTGCATGTTACAGCATTCGTGTGATTGAAAATATGTAGATTTTTTCCCTTATCTGAAAATCATACCATCAATTTTTTTTTCATGATTGCTGTTCTCAACAAGTATGTTTACTGGATAGGTACGTGAAGGCATTGAAAAGTTTAGTCTCAAGAAGTGCCTATACTGCAAGACTATTTAAATATTTTTTCAAGAATTTTCATGCACTTCAAGAGAGTGCACATTTTCATTTCAAAATCCTTTTTTCATGATGATTGGAGATCAAACATTAGCTATATAAAAAGAAAGTATTCATAATATACAAAATTTATTACAAATTCGGAAGGGTAGGTACATTCTTATTCATAATTTAACTACAATACATGATCAGAGCTTAGTTCTTCTTTTCGGTTTTCTTTCCTGAGCTACGGGCGTAGATGTTGTGGCTGCCAAGTCCAGATGCCCATGTGTTTTGGTTACCAATTCCGGACGACCATGAGTTGTGGCTACCAATTCCAGACGACCACGAGTTGGTGTTACCGAGTCCAGATGACCATGAACTCTTGAAAGATGTAGGAGCAACGGTGGTACTGTAGATTCCGGATTGTCCAGAGCTGTAAAGCCCGGAGCTGACGAGTCCCGAATTTCCCAAAGCTTCGTGGGAGACAAGAGGGCTGACGGTGGAGCTGACCAGTCCAGAGTTGCCATAAAGACCGGAGTTGACGTACCCAGAAGCTCCCTGGATGTCGTGGGAGACGAGAGGAGCAGCGGTTGTGCTGACAAGTCCAGAGTTGCCGTAAAGACCAGAGTTAATGTACCCAGAAGCTCCTTGGATGTCGTGGGACACCAGAGGAGCAGAGTTAGAGCTGATCAGTCCAGAGCTGCTGTACAAACCAGAGTTGAGTCCGTAGGATGCTTGCACATCTTCAGATACGATTGGGCTGACAGTTGAGCTGACGATTCCAGCACCGTGAAGACCAGAGCTGACGAGTCCTGAAGCTCCTACGACTTCCTGGGAGACGATTGGAGCAGCAATAGACTGTTGGTGGTAGAAAGTTGGCTGGTAGAATTGTTGGGTTTGTACTGGTACTTGAGCAGCAACAGCATGTTGTACATTGACGATCTCTGGTACTTTGACTACGACAGGTTCTGGCACATGAACAGCTACGGGTTTCCTGACATGAACTGGGTAAGGTTGAGCGACAGGTACCTGCACGGGTTCTGGTACTTTAACGATGACTTGTTTCTCAACCTGGACAGGTACGGTTCTGGTGATTTGGACTGGGTATGGCTTCTCAACGGCGTAGGGTACCTGTACCTTGACCTTGTATGGTACTGGGTGTGGCACTTGAACGGGTACTGGCCTGTCAACTGGGGTTGGTACATTGACGCGTACTTGGACTGGGACGGGCCTGTCGACAGGGACAGCATAGGGCTGGGGAACCGGGATGGTTCTGGTAACTGGTACTGGGTAGGGCTGAGCCACTGGAACAGCAACTTTGTTGACGACAGTGCGGATGGTGTGTTGAGCGGCTAGGACAGGCGCCGAAGCATAAGATACAGCTTGTTGTTGGTAAACTTGAGCAGGTGCCGCGTATTGGTATCCTACCAGAGGGGCGTAAGACTGGCCCTGAGATCCCCAGCTAGAGACACCGGAGTTCAGACCGTAGATACCAGAGTTCGAACCGATCGAACCAGAGTACAAGCTACCTCCGGATTTCAAGCCAGTGAGTCCGGAGTTCCAGCTGGATGAACCAGAGTTCAAACCGTAGACACCGGAGTTCAAACCGTAGACACCGGAGTTCAAGCCGTACGCGCCAGAGACATAATCAGCAGACCTCAGACCATAGAGTCCGGAGTTCCAGTTAGATGAACCGGAGTTCAAACCGGAGATACCGTAGTTCAAGCCAGAGAGACCTGACTTCCAGGTGGATACGCCGGAGTTCAATCCAGAGATACCAGAACTGTATCCATATGCTCCAGAATTCAAGCCGTATGATGAGCCAGAGTTCCAGTCATATCCGTGTTGGAGGTGACGTTTGCTTTTTGTCTCCTTCTTCTCGGAAGAAGGGGAGGCGGCGGCTAAAGCCAATAGGGCAAAGCACTGAAACAAAAAAAGAATCTCCAATGTTTGTTTGACTTTGACTGATAAAATGATTTGAATACAGTGTGGTTCATTTATTACAACAAAAATATCAATTTTTGAAGGGAGTGTTATTATGGACACGCATACTGTATATGATCATTATGGATAATATATTATTTGGATTATGTAGACGTTTAATTTTAGGAGTCTGAATTGCACAAATATAGAGGGCCACTGGAGTGGTTTTGATCATTCGATATCTCGCAAACTATTTATTTTGATTCTGATAGCAGAAGATACTTAAGGTTCTATCATGGTTTATGTGAGGAACATTGACATTCTTAGCTGATTCCATAGATACATTTTTCAAAACTGCAAATGAGTACAAAAATAATTGAAAAACTGAACGAAATGAGTAGTTAACAAAATCATTACCTATCATGGATATTTGGAGAGATTATGACATTATTTATTCATATTCATAGAGATGAGTCACCGGGATTGATTTTAAATGAAGGAACTAATATATTATCAAAATGATGAATATTAGAAAAATATATAGAACTTAATAACTATTCAGAAAGAATATGGAAAGACCAAAAATTGAAAAAATAAGTTTGAATGTTCATGAGTCCAAAGAGCTACAGCTCCTTGAAGAGGTTGCCCTGAAGATGGTGTGGAACAATAAAACTGTTCACATTATATACACACTTTTTTTGCTGCATTAAGAAATAAACGAAATTTGTAATTTGATCCAAACGGATATTGAACAGGGTTGGTTTCATCGTGTATACCTATTCTGTGTCGGTTAATCAAGTGCAACATTCATTTCTCTAGATTTTTTGGGATTTTCTGAGATTATTTGCCCAGAATTTTTACTGCATTTAAAAATTTCACTATTAGAAAAAAATGCAATCGATATCTAGTGACAACTACTTATTTTAGAAATGTTTCGAGAAGATAAATATAGATAAATCCAAAAAAATCTCATTTTCACTTAGCTTCGAGAACGAATCTGCTCCCGTTTCAAACATAACAATGGGATAATGTTATATTGTTGGCAAATTGTCTTCGGATTTCTACAACAATATCTGTCACTGAGAAGTGTCAACACAGAAAACGGTAAAAATTTTGCAAGAATAATAGATTAGTTACAGAAACGTGCAAAGAATATTGAAAATTAATAGTTATTTATGTATCAAAGACATAAAGTATGCTTTTATGGACCGCAGCGTGTAAGTAGGTCCATAAAAGTGAGTTAAGCCCGAAATGCATAATAGGTTTTTATGTATCAAGGGCATAAAGTAGGCGTTTATGGCCTGCGAAGGCTATAAATATACCTTTTCAATATTTTCCAATTGGAACTGCAAAACTAATTGATAACTGAACAACAAAAATGAAATTTGAAAGTACACTTTTCATCACACTCCTGAAAAAAGAATTTAAATTTCAGTTCACATATTTATATAATTTTATATGTATTTATAAAATAATTTTTTTAATCTCAAATCATGTCTGAAATATAGAAATGCATAGACAACTTCTGCGAAGGGTATTTGAAAGGCTATAGCTTCCTTTCATAATGGAGCAATTTTTCGGCTCCATGTTCATGAAAAGTTTTTTATTGCAAAGGAATCTACTGCCAAAGTATTGTGCGCTATTTATGGGTATAACCTTACAAAACTTCTTATTTTATTATGAAATTGATTTTTTTCTTTGACAAAGGTTAATTGATAATAATCCGACAATAAATAGAACACGTGAAATATCCATATCATAAAACTCACCAGGAAAGCTCTCATATTATGTCTATTGTAGTGAAGCACCCGACTCAAGTGATGCCATATTCTTAAAAAATCAGCTTTTTATATCATCATCTTGAACCACGAAGGACAATAATTTCAACCTGTTTCGGAAGATACCGATATAGTTCTTTCATTAATATTCTATCGAAGCAATAAAATTCATAACTCATGGAGAGTGAATTAGTTTGCTGAATATCTTAGATTTTGAAGAAATCCTCTCAGTTAATTTATTGCCTTTTTGTGATTTGTATGGTCATGTTAGGTAACACTTGATTCAATTTTAGTGGACGAAATTGAAATAATCTGAATTAATTATGAAATCAAGGTATCATCGATATCACGATGAACAATGATTTGAAGCACACAGGGCTTTTCTGCATTCCTCAATAATTCTTTGCCATTAGACAACATCAAGAATAGGTATGCACTTTTGCGGCACATATAGTTTCGTAAAATCGTGCGACCATTTTTTTCGTTGGTGAGCTTGGTGATGATGTCTTCTAGTGGATAATAATCTATGCTTATATGATAATAATCGTACATGATATAAACATTCTATAATGTGAAAAACTCAGATCTACTGAAGAAACACCAAATTTCCTAATAATTTGAAAAACACAAGCCTTTGGACGACTATGGACGAATGTTCAAATGCGACCAATAGTTATTAATCATACATAAGGGAAAAAATATCATATTTCTGCTCGAGGTTGTGTTTCTCTTCATCTGTCGATAGGACATTAAACCACTGTATATACAGGTGATGCGATAGTATGTAGAATTGTAACTAACTCGCAAGGTATGGTTGTTTAAACAATCTACTTATATGCCTTTGTACTTTTGCCACTATATGGCTCTAAGGACTAGACGTATTCCTCCCCTTCAGTGCCTTCGATTTAGTAGTATTTTTTTCACTGGTTATGATGATGAAATCGTAAGAAGAATCGAACATCGCGCGTTAACGAGTTATGTCAAGAGCTTACATTTTTTGAATGGGACAGCCATCAGTAATCCCAGTATACATTATTCTTAATCGATAGGAAATTCGATTCTAAATCAAAACTGTCCCATAATAATAAGTTCAAATTGAGTGAGCTATCGATGATTTTTCAAATGTGCATGCCTTACCATGAAGTTAAAAGAAATCGTCAATAGCTTAGTCATTTTTTAATTAAGGATTAATGTTTATTCCTCTCTTCGTTGAAAAAGCGTTGAAAATTGGTTGTGTAACCAACCGTTGAAAATCGGTTGAAATGCCGGGGAATATAACGTTTTTTCAATCAGAAGTTATGAAATGAACTTGAAGAACAATACGTTGATTATTTTCTGCGTATGATTTTGAATCAATCAAATCGTTCGATTGAGTTAAGCTACCTTGTATAATTTCGAATATACGTGGGTATACATAAAGTAGTTCCACCAATCAGAAAATTAGAATCATCTCCATTTCCATAGCATAACCAATTCATATTGTTACATACAAACAATGCATGTTGTCAAATTTTGACGTTTGCTCAGAACTACTCAACAAATAATCGCCCCGAATATAATTCGAACTTCAAAATCTTCAAGGTTATACATCTCAAACTTCCGGCACAAAAAACAAATCGTATTAGTTTAAATACTGTCTGTAGGTTAATCGAGGAGGTGGTTTCATTATTCCAAATTTTTTGGGATTCTCTCTCCTCGTTTCTATAAAATAAAAATATGAATATTATTTCAATATACGTGTAGTAAGGACAAATCAGATGATTTGCCCCAAAATGTCACTGCGTTTAAAGAATTTTCTTATCAGAGAGCCTAAAAGAAAAATTCACTAGCTTGTCAGTGACAATTTGTATTGAAAAAATTTTTGGAGAAGGGAAATAAAGGTATATAGAAAAAATATCAAATTTTCACTTATCTTTGGACGTTTCGGGACCGGTTCTGCTCCCGTTTTCAACATAAGAAAAGCTTCAAGACATTATACGACTTCGCTATCGAAATAATCTCTTCTTATGTTGAAAACGGGAGCAGAACCGGTCCCGAAACGTCCAAAGATAAGTGAAAATTTGATATTTTTTCTATATACCTTTATTTCCCTTCTCCAAAAATTTTTTCAATAAAAATTGTCACTGACAAGCTAGTGAATTTTTCTTTTAGGCTCTCTGATAGGAAAATTCTTTAAACGCAGTGACATTTTGGGGCAAATCATCTGATTTGTCCTTACTACACGTATATTGAAATAATATTCATATTTTTATTTTATAGAAACGAGGAGAGAAAATCCCAAAAAATTTGGAATAATGAATAAATCGTATTAGTTTAACAGTCAAAATTATCCGACCGCGAAGCGGATATAACCCGAATATTTCGAAAGAACGTATATATATTATTACTACTAAATATATATGGTACAATCAAGGATGTTACTAACATGTATTCGTAGAACGCCATCATTGACAACGTTGAAAAATCAACGTGTGACGAATATTTTACCTATTCAACGCTAAATAAACGTTGAATAAACGTACATGTGCCCATTGGGTTTAACCATTGTCGATCTAAATCGAAACCTATTGCAAAGATTACTGAAGATTATCTTCTGTAGTCTATGCCTATAGTAGGCGACCTATTTCGCGAGGATGTCTCGCCTACTAACTACCTAACTAGGTTATCATTTAGAACGACAATGGTTCAACCAATATAGGTCTATGGGTTTAACTAATTTGGTGGCTTCAATGACAGTTGAGTGCGAAAATCCTGTATGTTCTGGATGACAATTCGTATTTCCCGGAAGGAAAATACCTACTCTTATTCTGTATTCCCTGTATATTCCACAAGTAAGATCTGTCAAATTATCTGTCTCTCTCGTTTAGTATATTCTTTCGGTTATTGTTTTATTCACAGCGTGTCTCACTTTAAACGCCCACCCCCTTTATATCTCAGCTATTAGTCGTGCGATTCTTACCAAATTTCGACCGGTTTGAATAACATCAATATGATCAGTTTTTCAGAGACGAACTTCCTTTTGGACAGTGCCCCGCCCATTTATATTGAAATAAAAGAGGTCGATTTTTCATGAAATAATGTTTAGAATTTTTTGCAGGAAAACTAACTTCATATTATTGTTCCTCATGCTTTTGAACCCACATTTGTAAAAAATCACCTTATTCCGAATCAACATGATTGGGTAATTTATTTTTTCATTTTCTGCCTCGAAAAATAGTGAATTTGAATCAACTGACACGTTCAATAGCTCCTGTAGATAAAAAATGATGTTTTGAAAGAAACTACAAGATATAATATTTTTTGTTGAACTCACCGTGTCCGAGTAAATCATTATTTACGTGTGCCTGTTGTTTTGAAACCCTTCCTAGAAATTATATGAAAATTCACATATATTAGTTAGAAACCATGAGGAACGGAATAATGAGGTCAGTTTCCCTGTAAAAAAATGTTTCATATGATTTCATGGAAAATTTACCCTTTTTCATTCTAATAAAAACGCACATTTCATCCAGTGGTGCCCTACTGGGGGTTGTGGTAACTTTTCCTCCCATATTTTGTACGCCACTGATGAAATTACGATTATTTCCTATTCCTCGAATTCATTGTTCAATTTTGTTCAAAAAATGCATCACCTTCAACTAAGCTAAAATGATCAGTTTTCGAGATGTTCGACCCAAAATAGGAGATTACATAGTAATATTTCATCATTTTCAGTAGTCGAAAATGAATTACAAAAATATTTTTCTGGTGTTGAGTAGATTAGATACTATTCAGATCTCATTCTGTAGCTGAACAGAAATAGTTATTCCACGCATAAAGAGAAAACAATAGTAGATTGTTTTATTAGGATCAAAAGTGACACTTTGTTTGACAAGCGAATTTTGCATTTGCGAGGCGGAGCGTTTAGCGAAGCCGAGCGAATGCAAAATTTGCGAGTCGAACAAAGTCGACTTTTGTGTCGGTACAAAAATATTTTTGTAATTTTCTACTGCTGAGGAAGATGAAAAATTACTATGCAAACTTCTATTTTGGATCAAATATCTCTAGAACTGTTCATTTTAGCTGAATTGATTCGAGAAATTGGAATTAATCGGAATTTCATCAGTGGCGTGGAAAATATGGGAAGAAAAGTTATCACAACCCCCTGTAGTATGTCCCTATCTCAGTGAATATGAAATCACGAAAGCTATCACCTGTCAAGCGTTGTCGGTCGAATTTCGCAACACCATGTATAAGCCCATGTGAAAATCACATTATCAAAAAAATAATGAAGATGCCGTGGAGTCATTGTATCCAAAGAATAAGTCTGGTAAAGGAATACTTGACTTTTTGAGCCGAATCCTACACTTTCATGAAGGTTCGTGATATTATGGTTGAGTGGAAGAGCAACTGTCGATTTATCGGCGAGTTGAACTCTGCCTTTCGTTCCTTTGAGATAATGAAGGTTATTTTTGTATCAAAATAGATTCAAACAATGAAATAAATAGTTCATACTTATCGCAATTTTTTTATTATTAAATAATGACATATCTTTTATTTTTTTCAGGTAAATCACACTTGATGGAGATATAACACTGCATGCAGTATGTATAAATCCTTTCATTTATAGTTTTTCAAAACTGCTAGAAGAGAATAGGAACGTCGGATGATCTGAAAAAAAAAGTTGTATACAATTCTGCTGTAAATAAATTAAGAATAGACAATTTCTTAAAAATGTTCTATAATAAAACAGGGAGGGAAGAAATACATACTTTCAAGATTAAAAATATTGTGTTTAGGAGTTCATGAACCTGGTATGTTTTTCTATTAACTAGAAATCAGTTTTTTCTGATCACAATTGCAATCAATGAATTGAATTCTTCTTTGGTGAACTTTCTATTTAGATGGAGAATTTAGTGATAAATCATTAATCGGGAAACCGAAACCAATGTATCTTCCAAGTGTTTCTCTAATTCAGAAGCAATTCTAATATTCCGATATAGATCAAGATAAGCCAAATTTCGCAT